GACACGAGTGGAGGTCTCGGGGCGCCCTCGACCTCCACTCGTGTCACAAAAATCACCGTAAAGAAATGGCTGCCTTTATCCTCTTGTTGCTTAATATACTAATTTTAAAAATTTTGTATATTTTTTTTCTGATTCTTTATGTGAAAATGAACAATTTATGTTCTTAAAAATTTTTTTTTAAACAAACCGTTTTTGAGTTATTAGCAATTGAAAAAATGGCTAATTTTTTAAACAAATAATCATATTATTCTTAAAAATTATTGTAAAAAATTTTTTAAAAATGCGTTTTAAAGGTGATAAAACTAGGTTTAAAATGATATAAGTGTGATTCACATGCGATGATTTCCTAAAAAACGGTATCGCTTTAAAAAAACCAAAAAAAATTGAAAAATTTTATGTTGCAATAACATTTTTTCAACATTACCAAATTAATTTTTCTAATTTCTGTTTTATATAGTGTCAAAACTTAGGAAAATAGCTTTAAAAAGAGACCTTTTTGAACTTTTTAATTTAAATAATAAACAAAATACAAAACTTTTTGTAAAGTACTTAACCGCTGCAGGGTGGGCAAAAGTTATTGAGCGGCACTGTATTAACTTCAATAACCAACTTAAAAAAAAAAAATTTCTGAGGATTTTACAAAGTTCATCAATCCATTTCGAGATATATTTTTATGATAAATATACCTGGTAAATTTTAGCCAAATTCGTTAAAACCTCTTCGAGTTATCGTGTTCACAAAAAATGGGATCCTCACACACACACACACACACATCCGGTCAATTGTTCAAGGTCTTATATAACATAGTCCTATATAGCAGAAAATTTGTTTAAAGGATTTTTAAAAATTTTGTAAATTAATCGGCTACAAAGCTTCTTCTACGAGGAAGCAATTAGTAAAATTTTACTATTTCTTAGTAGAATTCTACTAATTCAGATTTAGAGAGCAATTGCTTATTTTTTTGTTTATGATAATAATAATGACATCGATTATGAAACATTTATATAATATTTCTAACATTAGATTATAAATTTTTACAGAGAAGTAACAAAATACTTTAAATTTCAAACATTAATAATTTTTCGTTCCTGTTGTTAATTTCAATAAAATACATTTATATGTACTAGTTTCCTTCTCTTAGCTACTGTCGGTAAATTATCACACATTGAGCAGAAAATTTTTTCTATTGAATCAAATTCAAATTTTAAAATTAAAAGTTTTATTTCTTTATTCTGAGAAGCTTTTTAAGGGGTGAAAATCTCTTTTTTTGTCAAGCTTCAATGAAAGAAGATTAGCTGCATCTGAGGGTAAACTTGTAGAATCTAAATTGATGCTTATCGCGTCTGAGAGAACAGATGGTAAACTCAGTCCAGAATAATTTTGATCATCATTAATTTCTCTCGATGTACCTTAATTATTTGTTTTTTTATCTTTTCTTTTCGTTAAATTAGATAGAATTGCATGTGGTTTACTTGTTGGTTTTGAACACTTTGACAATTGAGAACTAATTGCCAAATTATTTTCTCGATTTTCTTTCTTAGCAACGTGATCATCTTTTATCTTCTTGATTTCCTTTTTCACCAGACGTCTGAAAAATAGAAAACAAATATTAAATTGCAAATTATTCGTAATTAAATTTCATTAATGTTCATTGTGCACTTTGAAAATTGGTGTCAACTGTACATTTCCAATTAGTGTAAGAACGTGTTAGAGAAGAATATAAATATACGTTGATCGAGAAGAATATTCATTTCCACAGAGTACCGAAACTTTCCTAAAAATTTATTAAAGATTTACTTGCAAACTTCGGAGTATTTAATTAGAAAATTGAAGTTAACGATCACTCAAAGTCAAGGTTTAAGATAGAGAAAAAAAGAATAATTCTTTTTTTAACGTTTCAACAGCTCAGCTGTCTTCATCAGAAACTACAGTTTTATTAAATAAATATAAGTGAAAATAAGTGTAAAACTTCATATTATAAATTTTATAAAGATAAATAAATATAATTTAAAATTAAAATTTTTTAAATTTACCGTAAGAATATGAAAAAAATTATTTCAAAAACTCATATGTACATGTTCAAAAAAAAGACTGTGTACTGTTGGTCTATTACCATATGATTTAGGGTATTTTCTATGTTAGCGCTACGACTTATACTCATAGCGCCCTCAGCGCAAACGTCTAAAGCTCCCTAAATCATATGGTAATAGATGAATAGTACACAGTCGAGTGATTGCAAAAACGATTAAAACATAACAAAAATTTTCCAATAATTTTTCTTTACATACAGATAATTTTTTCAAAATCTACCAACATACCTTCTCAACTGCAAAAATCTAACAGATTGTCTAAATCTAATATAATGTAATATGGCAGTTGAAAATTATGATGTCTGAGAGCGTCTGCCGTCTGTTAGCGATTGGCTGTAAAACATCTCCTTCAACTTGACATTATACATTTTCAATTTTGCTTTCTCATAGAGGAAGGATTGTGTTAGTAAAAATTATTGATTATGATTTTTAGACCTACCTTATATATGGGGAATTCCACGTGAGATTTTAGTCGATCTCTTATAATAGGCCAAAAATATATTTTTTCTATTCTGTATCGAAAAACAGCAGATACGTATTCTTTTATTTTTGTTTAATTGTCCAAATTTTCGAGTTATGAATTTTCGAAATTTTGGACTTGTAATAATTGTAGATCTATATTCAGTAGCTAAATAAGTCCGAAAATATTTAGTTTAGGAAAAAGTTGTCAAAGAATGAAAGTTTTTGTTTTCTTTCGACTTTTAGAACAAGTTGTAAATAAAACTTGATTGAAGATTTTGTTACAAGCTTGTGTAATTGTAATAATTTCAGCATATTAACGTATCAATATGTTATTATTATTAAATTTTCAGCATAGCGGAAGGTGCTGTCAAGTATCAGAAAATTTTCGTGGCTATATGAGCAAGGTATCAAAACTGTTTTTTTCCATATTTATGTTTTTTGAAAATATTATCACAAAAATATTGCTTTAGGTATAACAGAAAAATTTCCCGAATGTTAAATCAAAATAATGTTTCTGTCCATATTTAAAAAAATAATGCATTGTTTATGAAATAATTCTAAACTAAAGAAATGGTGTCATTCACTGTCTTGAAACAAAATATTTCTTATTTCATATTAAAAAATATTAACAAATTTTCTAGAGAAATAATTTTTGTCTGAATACTATGTATTCAATGTTACTGTCCCTTAGTCTAAAAAATATTTTATTAAAGTTCGAAGATAATAGAATAAAAATGTACTGTTTACCTTTCCTTTTTCAATGGAGATGTTCTTACAGAATCGCAAAGTTTCCCCCAAAAATCAAAATAAACTCTTCGACTGTAATACATGTTCATTGTATAACTTAATGACTCAGAAAGTTGATCACAATCTTTATAAATGCAAGCGATAAGTTTTCTTTTTCTTTGGTCTGCAAAATTTTAAATTAATTAAAACACTATCTGAAGATGTATAAAGTCCATTCATATGTACATTTATTAATCAAAAATCGCAAAATCAAGTTTGTGATTAAATTTTAAGTTGGAATTCGTTTACACTTCCTTTACAAATGAATTATACAACATTATAAGTTAAAATTATTCTATCTCAGTAACTACTTATAGAATAAATTTAAAAAAATTTTTATTAACTCATTTTTTAACAAAAATGTTATTAAAAACCAAAAAGGAAGTAAGCATTTGCTTACATTACATTTATATTACCTACATTTTTTGAAAAACATACCTATTCCCACAGCATGTGCAAAGTCTAAAAAGAATTTATTGACGTGGCTCTTTAAAAAATTTGGTGAAATCATTACAATGAGTCGATTACAACGTTCGGAAATTAATTTCATTGTTGCTTCGCTTTCAAGAGATACATCAGCAATTAAATCTCTGTCTTTTGTGCAAACCTAAAATAAATTAATGTTTAAGTGGAAAAATTTAAAAATTAGTATCGTAGTTGACTTCTCATTTAAAAAGAAAAGAATATTTTTGGTCAGGATTTTTTAGAAAATTGAGAGGAACTTACTCTGACATGGGCTCTTCTCGGAATTTTGCAAAAAAATTTGATAAATAATTACTGAAAAAATTGTTTCAACATTCAAAAAAAGGGGTTTGAAATTTACTTGTCATCTTTTAAAATAAAATATTTCGGATTTATATTTGGAGGGGTAATAGATGTGCTCTTATCCGTCTTTACAATAATTTTGCCAGGAAAATATTTTATTAAAGATTGAAATTGGAGTAATTTGAGGTTAAGACATTTTCTTAGTGGCTGCGGCTGAACTAAAAAAATATCTGAACCTCAAATTACTCCAATTTCAATCTTTAATAAAATAATTTCTTCGCAAAATTATTGTAAAAACAGAAAAGAGCGCGCCTCCCTCTATCACCCCTACAAATATGAACCCGAAATATTTTATTCTTAAGGCTATGTCCAAGTTGTGAAATGTAAACAAACCAAAAGGTTACTAAACCAGCACTAAAATTGCAATTTTTCGACAGCCAATTCTCCCACAAAAAATAACATTTTTACACTTTCTTAACGAAAATGGTAAATTAGAGTATCAAAGTTTCCAATAAAGTTGTTTTTGACTATGAGCAATAAAAAGCAATTAGTAAAATAACTAATTAAAATGACCTGTAAAACAGCATTTTTGACGCGTCGCGAAAAATAAACTGTTTGAGTATATCAACCACACGGATGATGAAGAAGTTACATGTCAGCGATTGGACCTTCAACATGTGGAAGGGTAAATTTTTCCCTTTCCTCCTTGAAATTACAAGAGAAAGGGTAAAAACTTCTTCATGGTCCGTGCGGTTGATATACAGTGCCGCTCAAAAGGATTTGCCCACCCTACGGCATGCAAGGGTATTACAAAAAGTTTTGTATTTTCAATAATAATAAAGATAAAATCTTAATCAAATATTTATTTTAAAGCTTAAGGGGTTATGCCACTCTAGAAACCGAAAAAATAGGCATTTTTTGTGAATTTTTTTCAGAGAATTTATAAAGTCAATTAAAATTGGAATATGAGGAGTTTATTGTACATCTTTTGAAGTTTAAAAATATAAATTTTCATAATAATTTAATGAATAATGGCGACGCTGTTGGGGTTTTCCGTCGACATCTCTGTGGCGCATATGGTCCGTGGCCGCACCAACTGTTTCTGTAAATTTTGAAATATCTTGAGTATATAATTTTTTATTTATTGTACATTACAATAGCTAAAGCAACACGTAAGATTTTTTCGATATATTGATTTATGGTCAAATAGCGCACTTCTAAAGTTAACATTTCTAAATTCTACCAAAAAATCGTCAGTAAATTGTTAACCCGTTGACTGTCGCTGATGCATATATGCGCAAAACTAAACTGGCCAAAAGTGGTTCATGACGCATATATGCGCAACTTAAGGGTATGTCCAAGTTGTGAAATGTAAACAAACCAAAAGGTAAACAAACCAAACACAAAAATCGCACTTTTGTAACAGACATTTCTCTTACAAAAATTAACATTTTTACACTATCTCTACAAAAATGGAAAATTAGAGTTTCAAAGTGTCCAAAAAAACGTTTTTGGCTATGAGCAATAAAAAGCAATTTATGAAATAACTAATTAAAATGACCAGTAAAATAGCATTTTTGACGCGTCGCGAAAAATAAACTGTTTGAGTATATCAACCGCACGGATGATGAAGAAGTTCCATATCAGCGATTAGACCTTCAACATGTGGAAGAGTAAATTTTTCCCTTTCTTCCTTGAAATTACAAGAAAAAGGGTAAAAACTTCTTCATCGTCCGTGCGATTGATATAGTCAAACACTTTATTTTTTCGCGACCTGAGACTTCGTTGCTCTCTGCGCAAGCGCAGAGAGTACTAAGAATGCTTTGACAGCACCATGTGGAAGTGCACATTTTGTTTTGATTGAAACTTAGTTGTTTTCTCATTTTTTCATCTATGCAAGGCGTAGTAACCAAATAGAATACGTCAGTTCACCATTTTCATAAAGAAAATGTGAATTTATATTTATGTACGAAAATGAGACCTCGTGCAAAAATGCTTCAAAATAGCGCATAGTAAAGCATTTTCGCACGAGGTCTCATTTTCGTAAATAAATACAAATTTACATTTTCTTTATGAAAATGGTGAACTGACGTACTCTATTTGGTAACTACGCCTTGCATAGGTGAAAAAAAATGAGAAAACAACTAAGTTTCAATCAAAACAAAATGTGCACTTCCACATGGTGCTGTCAAAGCATTCTTAGTACGCTCTGCGCTTGCGCAGAGAGCAACGAAGTCTCAGGTCGCGAAAAAATAAAGTGTTTGACTATATCAACCGCACGGACAATGAAGAAGTTTTTACCCTTTTTCTTGTAATTTCAAGGAAGAAAGGGAAAAATTTACCCTTCCACATGTTGAAGGTCTAATCGCTGACATGGAACTTCTTCATCATCCGTGCGGTTGATATACTCAAACAGTTTATTTTTCGCGACGCGTCAAAAATGCTATTTTTCTGGTCATTTCAATTAGTTATTTCACTAATTGCTTTTTATTGCTCATAGCCAAAAATGATTTTATTGGACTCTTTGAAACTCTAATTTTCCATTTTTGTAGAGAAAGTGTAAAAATGTTATTTTTTGTAAAAGAAATGGCTGTTACAAAAGTGGGATTTTTGTGTTTGGTTTGTTTACATTTCACACCTTGGACTTACCCTTAAGAAAGGTGATTAAAAACTTCTTAAATGTTCCTGAAACCGGTTACTCGGCAGTTTTCGAGATCGCTGATTACGAATATGACATTAGTTTTCCAAAATTCAAAATGGCGGATTTAATATGGCGGACGAAAAAATAAAAACTTAATTATAATGGCTTGAAACTGAATACTCGGGGGTTTTTAGGGTCGCTGATTACGAATCTGACATCAGTTTTTTAAAATTCAAAATGGCGGATCCAAGATGGCGGGATTTTTTAAAAATTTGTCGAATTTTCTTGAAACTTGTTACTCGGAAGTTTTAAGGGTCGCTGATTAGGAATCTAACATAAGTTTTCCAAAATTCAAAATGGCGGATTCAATATGGCGGACGACAAAATAAAAACTTAATTATAATGGCTTGAAACTGAATACCAGATATTTTTAATTTTAAAAAACTGATTTCAGATTCGTAATTAGCGACCCTGAAAACCCCCAAGTACTCAGTTTCAACCCAATCTGATCAATTTTTTATTTCGTTGTCCGCCATATTGCATCCGCCATTTTGAATTTTGGAAAAATAATGTTAGATTCGTAATCAGCGACCCTTGAAACCTCCGAGTAACAAGTTTTAAGCAGATTCGACGAATTTTAAAAAAATTCCGCCATCTTGGATCCGCCATTTTGAATTTCGAAAAACTGATGTCAGATTCGTAATCAGCGAGCCCAGAAACCTTAGTGTACCAAGTTTCAAAAAAATCCATTAAAAATTTTTTCAACACACTTTTGGCCCAAACAGTGGAAATCTCGTTGACAGCCAAGGGGTTAATAACAAATGAACAATAAAATAAATAATAAATAATAAATAATAAATAATAAATAATAAATAATAAATAATAAATAATAAATAATAAATAATAAATAATAAATAATAAATAATAAATAATAAATAATAAATAATAAATAATAAATAATAAATAATAAATAATAAATAATAAATAATAAATAATAAATAATAAATAATAAATAATAAATAATAAATAATAAATAATAAATAATAAATAATAAATAATAAATAATTAGATTCAAATAAAAAATTTTATATACTTTTTATAATAGGAGTACAATTTTATTTATTTAAAAAGAAAATGGTAAAGTGATAAATTAGTAAAATATTCTTTACCAATTGTGAGTATATCTAAATCTGTATTAGCAACGACATCTTCTGCCTTTTTCAGCGATCGTTTGAGATTTTCAATGTACACTTGGACATCTTTTTCTAAAATTATAAACAAATATTTAATTAAAGTTAATAACTATTTCTTTTTTAGTCTTCTTATGATAATCTTTGTTATCGTGCGTTACCAAAGAAAGTTTCTGTATCATCAAACACGTCCCATCTTTCGATTGCCTCAAATGCTTTTTGCAGGTCCTTTAAAGGTGTTCTATTGTCAATTATGTCTAAAATATACTTAGACGGATTTAAATGAGTATAAAGTAGAGGCATTGCTTTACCTGACAATTCAAAAACATGTGTTAATCCTCTCCAATGTCTACAAAAAGAAAAAATAAATAAATACAATTTTTATTTGTTTTATAATTGCTCTATCCAGTTCTGATTCTACAAGGAATTGCATAAGGTCCATCAATTTAGCAAAAAAAAATAATAATAACAATAAACCTTGGTAATCCGTTATCGGCAGGCAATATTCTTATTGGAATTAATAATGCTGAAATTAGCGTTTTTAATTTTTTGACAATGCCAATAGAGGAACAGCTGACAAATCCATTTTAAGTATCCAGTATCTAAAATTAAAATTGTTGTTGAAAATTTTATTCAGTATACGAAAATAAATTAGTCGGAAAAAATATAACATACATAATACATTATAGGGGTCATTCTCACAATCGGGACACATGACACGTACATTAGATTTTTAAAAATAAATAATAATAATTTTTCAAAATCTTTACGTCCTAATAATAGCATTCATCATGATTTAATCGGATCCTATGAAAAATAAATCGAAAATTTGAAATATTTAAAGATACACGTGTTTATATAGCATAAAAACTCCCCTCCGTTACCGTTCATGAAGTAAGTTTCATTTATAGAAAAGATATTATATTAATTCTGTAATACAAAAAAATCTTTTGCCCAGTAATATCTACTTATTATTTTATTTCTAATTCAATCATGAAAAATAAAGTAAAATATTTGTTAGTTATTTTTACCTAGAATTAAATTAGTTTTGTGCAGAAATAAAACTCCCCTCCGTTACCGCTCACAAATATAATTATAAAATATAAACAAAAACGATAAAATAGAAATAAATACATCAAAACTCTTTGTAGTGTCAGTATAGTTATGGTTATTGCATAAAATGATGAAACAAAATGAAAACAATTAGTTTTAAAAGAATCTTTAGTTTGTCAGTGTTCATCGACACAATAAAAACTCCCCTCCGTTACCGCAGTAAATTTAGTTTTTAGGACGTAAATAATAATAATTTTTAATAATCTTTAAAACATTGTTTTATTTAAAAACAAAGAAAACAAATGCTGTTATTAATTTATTTATAATATTTAATTTTTTTATATTAGAATCAGAACATTTTGAAGCTGTATAATGGAAGAAAACTCCCCTCCGTTACCCATGGTATATTTCCATTACACAGCACGTAAATTACAAACTTTATTAATCATCGGATTCGCCTGAAAATCGTTACTCGGGGGTTTTTAGAGTTGCTGATTACGAATATGATAATAATTTTTGAAAATTCAAAATGGCGGATCCAACATGGCGGACAATTTTTTAAAACATTTATCGGATTTGCTTGAAACTCGTTACTCGGGGGTTTTCGGGGTTGCTGATTACGAATCTCATGTCAGTTTTTGAAAATTCAAAATGGCGGATCCAATATGGCCGACATTTTTTTTCAAAACTGCTCAGATTTGCATGAAATTTGTTACTTGGTGGTTTTCGGGGTCGCTGATTACGAATCTGTTATTAATTTTTAAAAATTCAAAATGGCGGATCCAACATGGCGGACACTTTTTGAAAAATTCATCGGATTTGCTTGAAACTTGTTATTAGGGGGTTTTCGGGGTCGCTGATTACGAATTTTGGGTCAGTTTTAAAAAATTTTAAATGGCGGATCCAATATGGCGGATAATTTTAAGATTGATGCTATTCGATAGAAATTCGTTCCTCAGGGGTTTTTTGGGTCGCTGAATTCGAATTTGATGTTTGTTTTTGAAAATTGCAAATGGCTGATCTAGTATGAATAATTAATTAGATTGGCTTAAAACTTGTCGCTCTGGGGATTTCGGGATTTTGAATTTTCAAAAACTGACATCGGATTCGTAATCAGCAACCCTGAAAACTCCCGAATAACGAGTTTCAAGCATACCCGATGAATTTTTGAAAAAAGTGTCCACCATATTGGATCCGCCATTTTCAATTTTCAAAAACTATCTTTAAATTCATAATCAGCGACCCCGAAAACCCCCGAGTAACGAGTTTCAAGCAAATCCGTTAAATTTTTGAAGAAAGTGTCTGCCATATTGGATCCACCATTTTGGATTTTGAGAAACTGACATCGGATTCGTAATTGGCGACCCCTAAAACCCCTAAGTAACGAGTTTTAATTAATTTTCATCAATTTTGAAACCCATTTAGCTGCGAGAAATTTTCAACAAAAATTCTGATTAAAAAACATTAATTTTTAATAATAATGTTGATAAAGATTGTAACCACGTATTTTATAGGCTTGTTAGGATCCCCCTTTTGCCAAAGGACTAATAATAAAACTGAATTTTCAACTTTTTTTAAAATGAAATTTCAATTCTGAATTTGTTCATTTCTAGAGATTGACCCATAGGCTATATACTATAATATATTTATGTATATATATATATATAATAATAATACAGCTATAGTACATTTATAAATTTTTAATTTTCCTTTTATAAATTAATTATGTATTGAGAAAAATTGAACTTGAATTAGTCACATAAATATTGTAATGAAAACACTCTTGTGTCATGTAAACAATTCAAAATCAAATGAATATTTAAGATATTTGGTAAAAATATACTTAATTTTTGCGTATGCTTTCCTTACACGTACACACATTATTTATGCTCACATATTATGTAGCAAACTAATCTTCTCCTACTGGAATTCAAATTGATAATTTTTTGTAGTAAAAATAAATAAAATATTTACTGTAGAAAATGAAAAAATAGGTTTCTTTTATCAAATTTTATGTTCTGTATACACCTACAAAGTGTTTACTTTACAGTCATTGTTAATATAACTAGCATGAAAGACATCATGCTTTACTCTACGAACAGTCATCCTTGAAATATTTAGTACATAGATTGTGTTCATTCGTTTAGTGCTACTTGGCGTTGTGAAATAGCCGCGCGATTGTAAATGAAATACAAAAACTATAGGATAGACTAGAGCGTAATGAATCACTTCAATATATTTAAAAGCAATAAGTTTAAATAATTTTCCTTTATTTTTATACTAATGTACTCGATAACCTGAAAATTTAAATCAATTAATATTGATTTAAAAATTACTTTAGCCACATAATATTAATACGCATAAAATATATTGCTTTATATAAGAATTACCCAAACAAATTTTGTACAAATTATTTGAATTTTTTAATTTATTATAATTTTCTATAATTTCAAAATTTCTGAAAAATGTTTAAAATATAATTAATTTTCCCTATTTCGACGCCTCCCGTTCATATAATGCTTATTGAAAAACAAATGCAAGATCATTCTTATTCAGTTTTTAGTGCAAGACAATTCTTATTAGATTTCCCGTGCAATAAAATGCTTATTCAAAATTCTATGCTAAAAAGTACAATCTGAAATTAGCTTACACTATGAGTTTTATAAAATTTTCAATTGAATATAATTTTTAATTACAATTGCTTAAACAATATTTCTTAGTACGTAAGAGATAATCAAGTATTAAATTTTCTAATAACAATAGATACGCACTGAAATTCTCAGATATTTAATTGCAATTTAATATTAACAAGATGATTTAGGGTTACATTTATTGTTCTGTCAGTGGCAATTGTTTTGAACACAATTTTGAATAAGAATTTTATTGCACGGAAAATCGAATAAGAATTGTCTTGCACTAAAAACTGAATAAGAATGATCTTGCATTTGTTTTTCAATAAGCATTATATGAACGGGAGGCGTCGATTTATTTTATAAATTTACTATTAAAATTTCAATTGATTATTCATAATAGTGTGTGAATTTCTAAATCATAATTAGGGGCCGTATAAAAATTACGTAAGGGCTTTTTTCGGAAATATTACACCCAACCTCCACCCTCCCTCTGTAAGTGACTTTGCATACATTAGCGCAATTTTTCTGCTAGCCGTGAGGAATAGCTGGACCCCCTCCCCCTTAGAGAATAAAATAATAAAATGGGTGATATTCAATCGTTTCCCTTTTTTAAAATTAAAGTGAAAAGTGATTTACTACGCCCGAATCTCCCACAGAGAAGAAGTGTTTTATACTAAAAACGGAAGTGATATTCACATGAATATATAATTATGTAATTTTCATTACATTTTTCCTTTGGTTTAATTTTTAAAAACACTGTAACATTTTTTCGTAACACATTAATTATAACAATTATAATTAATGACAATTATAGTTTACAAGAAATTTATAGAGCAACAAGAGTAAATGAAAATTAATACACAAAAATAGTGGTAAATTTTTACATTTCACAACTATAACAACCAGGAAGTCACAATAAATATACTGAGCTGTCGTTTTATACCCTACTTAAGAAACCCACTTGGGATCCCACATGGGATCTTGTGTAGGTTCCTTAATGAAAACCCACGTCCCACATGGAAATCCACATGGGATCCCATGTGAAAGCACATGTGAATTTGGGACACGATTTGAAGTATGGGAATATACAATAAAAACCTATGTGGATTCCTATATCATCTCTTACAATTTTTCTGGAATTTTAATTTTGTCAATTCCCTATGTCAATTTCCTAACCCAGTAAAAAATTCAAAATTGGCAGTGAGCGAATAGAATTGGCGGTGAGTTTTTGTTAATACGTTTTCGAGTGAAAACCGTAGGGTGATTGTGCGTATTACTACGAATTTCATTAAAAATATTCAAATAAAACTTTATTTGACAGATAATAGTCTATAAAATATCTATAATAAAACTTTAATTTATATTAATTGTTATTTTTAACGAAAAATTCTTAAAAAAATGCATTTTAATACGTTTTATTTAACTTTGAAAATCGCTAGTTTAGATGAGAGCACAAATAGTTGCATTAGTGAGTTGAGAGTGCTTTCAGAAAGATAAATATATTTATATGTTTTGTGAACAAATATTTAATGTTAAGTTATTTCTAAATATAGCAATAACATTAGTTTTAATAAATTTAAAGAAAATTTTATCTTTTTAACGTTTTTATTATTTAATTTTAAACGTAGAATTGGACACAGGATTTTTCGCGCTTGCGTTTATTTCTACGCCGTGTCACACAACCTGAAATATAGTTGTTGACAGTTCGTGTTTGTTTATAATGTTTGTAATGAACGCAATGAAAATAGTTTTTAGCTAATATATAAAAGTATTTTATAGTTTTTATTATTGTAAAAACCACACAAAAGCACAATGCCAAAGATTAGGATGCAGTAGACGAAGGAAAACTAACTAAAGTTTTTGGTGAATAAATAAAAAACATGATTTAAACATGTATGGTGGCCAGTGGCTACTGGTCAGGGAAAACCTGGAAGTCAGGGAAAAATAAATAGGTCAAGGAAATCAGGGAAAAGTCAGGGAATTTTTTAATTAGTCAGGGAAATTGTAAAGATTATAAAAAGAAAAATAGTATATTACATTATAAGGACAGAAAGTTCGAATTCCGGCACTGTGCGAAATGATCATCGCACTGTGAAGGGCTTCGAAATTTCTGCCCGTGTAATGTATACTATTTTTCTTTATATACGGTCGAAAGTACGCCCGTTAATTTATTTTTTAAGAAAATTGCAATCGGGAATTCGTGATTAATTTGACAGCCGGCCATCTTTATTTACTTTCGCTCCCCACTTCAACGCCTCTAGCGGACGCTCGTGAAGCTTTGGTTTTTTCTCTGTCTCTCTCTTACATTCAACGCCTGCCCCGACATTTGAAGCACGAGCGAAGCGAGTGCTTCTGTTCGGGGGCAGGCACGAAAAAAAATGTAAAAGATAAATTTATTGATTTATTTATAATAATACACGGGCAACAAAATAAATTAATATTATATTCTCAAAAGAATTTTTTTGTTCGTACAAAATTAATTTTATATTTCGGAAATTCTAAACGTTCTAATAAAAAAAATGTCGTTATTTCTTTAAATTATTAAAATTTTATTATAATATTGTGGCACGTATAAAAAAATAAATTATAAAATCTTCTTGTTAATTTTTATTCTTATTTTATATATTAAAATAAAAAAAATTCGTTAAATTTTCTGGAACTCACAATTTTCTTATTTACCGACATTGGTATTTTTACCGACAAAGAATTCTTTTACTCCCGCTGTAATAGAGGGCGTATGTGTATATCAACCAAAGCGTAAATGTTTGACTTTCTGCTGCGAAGTCTAAGCGGGAAGTACATACTTTCGACCGAGGTATAAAGAAAAAAAATTTATATAAGGGAGACAAGGGTTACATATTAAACATCCAAAACAGTCAAATTGCATTATCTTTCTAACGGAAATAGTTAGATATAAATATTACATAATTTTATTATTATATTATATTAATATATTTTTATTTGAGTTAAATAATTACCGATTACCGATTAAAACCGTTTTTGAACAAGTTTTTCTCTGCACACAAGCACTTTTTACAAAATCTGACAACGTACATTTGTCACAAATGTTTTTAATTGTCTGAATTCAAGAAATTTTGTTAATCCATGCGGAAACGCGGTTACAGGAATGGAAATACAAAAGTAATGTAATGACAGGTGGCTACACATATGTTGGAGCCACTTTGCCATTAGAGGGCAGAAGCATGCAGCGTGCGTAAAGGATCAGCTGTCAAAATGATTCGCATTAAAAAAATAAAAAAAAGGGATATGTATTATTATAAAATAAAAAAAAAAAAAAAAAAAAAATTAAAAAAAATTAAAAAAAATTAAAAATTAAAAAAAAAAAAAAAAAAAAATTAAAAATTTTTTATTGGTAATTCCAATCCTGCAACCGCGTTTCTACAGGAATTGACAAAATCTGTTGAATTCAGACAATTAAAAACATTTGTGACAAATGTACGTTGTCAGATTTTGTAAAAAGTGTCCGTGAACAGAGAAAAATTTGTTAGAAAATGAATGTTTACCAATTTTTTACGTCATTTTAATCGGTCAGTGCTGTGTTTGTTGGGTGATAACTGTTTGTCGCACATTATCGAGAAATTTAAGAGACCATCGAACACCATTGTCCGTTAAGCAGTTTTATATTATTCGAAGTTTAAAAACATTTTCAAGTTTTTTATACTGAATTTCAGGTATAATATTGCTTAAAAAATATATAAAACTTACAATTAGCAACATAACCTTTAAACCTGTCAAAAGGATTTAAGCATTTCAAGTGTACCGTTAAATTAATGTATTTTGTTCTTTAAAATTTTTAGATTTTCCATAAAAAATTATTTATCTAGGAAAAATGTTCACTAATTTCTAAAAAAATTAACTTTTATCATTAAATATTTTTTATTGATCAATTTAGATGTGTATAAACCTTGGAGCGCGGAATTCAAGGTATCTGTAGGCAGATTTCCCAAAAGTCCCTAAGCAAAAAAAAAAAAAAAATCATCACCCTGATTATCTAGATAGTAAATTTAACTACCCATTTTTCTCCGTGCAAGTACACGGTCGAAAAACGAAATCGTCCACGACAATTAAACCCATAATTGAAGCGTTGGGTGCAAGAAGGACGTATAACAAAAAACGACGAACGGAGATATTTCAAGTTAAAGTTTTAATCTTTAATTGTTCAAAAACTGTAAATGCAAATTAAAAAACTTTTTTTTTATGCAATTGGACATTTATTCAGCTATCAATTTCAAGTGTTAACTTGACTGTAAGTTGTGACTAACTATTAAAAAACAATTTTTTTCATAACCTATTCATACGCCCTTTTTGCACCCAGACATTTAATCAGTAAAATTTTTACTTCAAACTAAAAATAACTTTAATTTTAACATACTTTTCTCTATATTTTTTGAATTTTTTATTTTTAAACATATGACGG